CTTTATGACAAGTTGGATTATAGTAGACTTAGATTTTTTTTCATATGTAAATTGCTTAATCTAATTGCTTATTGATTATATCTATCAAAGTCTATAAATATTTTTCTTATTTTTCACATATCTCTTTTTGAGTTATGTAAGACATTAGATATACCAGAAAGAAGACAAATGTCACATCTTCATATAGAAGTGGACAATAATAAAAAAATAAAAAATCAAAGAAGTTTTAAATTCAAGGCAATGAAAAAATAGGTTAGAATAGAATTTAGAAGGTAAAATAGAATTTGCAACAATAATTGACAAAAAAAAGCTCCTAAAATTTTTGGATGTTAGCTGCTATCTTTTGTCAACCTAGTTGTTGATTTTTTAGTAGCAATTTTTCTTTATTAAATTTTTTAATTGCTATAAAAATTATCTAATGTATAAACATTTAAGTCAAATTTCTCTCACCAATTTTTTTTTAATTGAACTATTAGATTTTTTTGGATTGCAAAAACCCTCATTGATCCTAAATTTCAAAAATTTAAGTTCCAAATTCAATAAAAATTTCATATCTTTCAAAGTAATCATTCAATTAATATCAAATTTATCAAAAAAAAAACATAAAACAACCACAAAAATAAATTTATAAACTTTCATTTATAAATTTAATACCATATTCATATAATCTTTAAATTTATAAACCACTTTTTATTTTTTAAAATCAAAAACCTCTAAATACATCTTTCACTTTGAAAAGGCATGAAAAACTCAATATGTATTAAAATCACTTAAAATTAATGCTTAAATAATTCTTTTAAAGTCTTCTCTCTAATTATATTTGAATATTAATATCTTTGAATATTAATTCTTAGTTTCTAAAGGAAATTTTTAATAAAAATTATTCTTAATTTTTTTAAAATATCTATATTGATTATTTATTTTATATACATTTATTTTCTTTATTTATGGTTCTATAAAATAAGTAGAAGTTTTCTATATAATAAGGCAATATTAATACTTATTAATTTTTACTATCTCTTTATTTATTTTCTATATTTATAAGATAATTTTATAAAATATTTTTATTTAAGATCTTCTATAATATTATCTTTTTTTTCCCTCTTTTATTTAATGGTTATGTTACAATACAACAATGTATTACACATGTTGGCCACTTATGGTAAAATTTGTGATGTGGTACATATATAAAATTAATTTTGTAAATTTGACACATGTCTTATAAATGGAACATGTGTCAAAGATCCTATAGAACATTACTATATAGCTTTTAGCTAGCCAATATATATGGAAGCAAGACTAAAGCCTTCTTCACTCTTATCAATGCTTTTTTAGTCTTTAGTCTTGTCTCAAGAGTCTCTAGTTTTCTTGTCTTTGGTAGAATTTAAGGTTTGATTTAAGATTTAAGATTTTATTAATATTTTATTAAGATTTGAGTAAGATCTGATTAATTTTATTTAAAATTTGATTAAGATTTATTTATGATTTTATTATGATTATATTATTTTAGTTAAGATTTATTTAAATTTTATTAATATTTAATTAGAATTTGATTAAGATTATATTAATCTTAATTTGAAGCTTATTTAGAAATTGTTGCCACACTCAAATGCACCGAGAATCTTATTTTAACAACTTACAATACTATTCTTATTTCAAACTTCTATTCCGCAATTCCCCTCCTCTTCCCACATTTGCCATTTTCACATCTATCGTTTCCACCTCCATCTTTATATTCCAATCTTTTCAATCCATTATTCATGTGCTAATTTACTTAAATGGCAGCCCTATTTAACATGTTCTTTTATAGGACCATGTGTTTTTGTGCTTTCTTTAAGAATTAATGAGTAAATTGAGCTCCTCTTTCTTTTCTTCAAGTTGGTTTTAGACATGCCATTGACTTGATCAAAGGCTAATATGATACACACCTAAACAATTCATCATATCAAGCACAAATACAAGAAACTCATTTTGCAAAAAAAACCTTGAAAAATTCTATTACAATCACTCAAAACATTGGATAAAGCATTCAAGTAGATCCATAACATCAATCATGGCAAAGAAACATATTGACATAAATCCACAAGCTTTATTTTTAAAGAAATTTATGAAAAATAATAAAATTCTTAATACATTCTTATGTTAATTAAAAAGAGTAGATATTTACTTAAAAGTACTATAAAATTAAAACTAGATAAATAAAAGTAGGTAGATTTTATAAAATCTATTTGGTGAAGCTTTTTAGAAGATTCATAGATGTAAAGTAAGTAGATTTTTTGATAAAATCTACCTACTTTTATTTTCTACCAAATACTTTTTATCTTAGTAATTAAGTATGCATGTGATATACTTTTCATATTATCATATTTACAAGATAATCTAATGAATGTTATAAATCTACAAAAGAAGACTTTAAACACGACTCATCTCCTAAAGAAGTGGATGAAGAAGAAGAAGAGCTAAATTTACTTACTTATTCTTGGACAGAAAGTGAACATAAAAACTTATACTTCTACAGAAGAATAGATTAAATGGTACAACTGTTTGAAAGAATTTGGATGAGAATGGCAAATGGAGAAGTTTATGATATGGAGATGGGAGAATTGAAATGAGAAATGGAAGGTACAGTGATAGGTGGATCAATTTAACTTTTATTAGAATAAATTTTATATTATCCTATATTTATCATCAAAATTTATTATAAAATAATATAATCTTTTACATATATTTTTTAAATAATCAAATAATTTATATAAGAAATGTAATTAATTTAATTTAATTTTTTATTATAATTATAATTATAAATTTTTTAAAGATATTTATTAATTATAAAATTTATATTAAAATAATGATATATTTTTAAAGCTATATATCAATATTTTAAATTCAATATAAGATTTATAACAATCTCTTATATAACCATAAGATTTTTCTAATGATTTCATAACAACCTTCATATAATGCATTGAGAATGTTTTTTGATATAGTACCCAATTTTAATAATATCACCAACTTCAAAAACTTTTTTTAAGGTCTTAATTCTATATATATATATATATATATATATATATATATATATATATATATATATATATATATATATATATATATATATACTACTATTTATTTAATTATTAACATGTTTATTTTGTAAATATTTATATTTATTTTGAAAACATTTATTTTTTTAAATGAAAGAATTATTAAATTCTTTTAAATGTTTTAGTGTTTAGATTAATATGTAAAAACTCTAAATAGATTTAAAATTTCTAATATCAAAGAAAATATTATTAAAAATATTTAATAAAATAATAATACTAATAAAAAATATATTATGTGAGTGAGTATTTGTAACAAATTCAAGAAAATAGTTGAAAAAATTTAAGTATAAGCTATCTTTGTCTTTCTTCTAGCAACTTTATAATATTGCAATAACTCCAGCTATAAGTGTTTTTTTGTATAACTATAATATTCTTTCTTTGGCTTCATATAATATTTTTCAAAGCAATTGCTATTTAGTGAACTTTTACACAAAATTTGGATATTTAAAAAAAATTGTAGAAGTTAGCTAAATAATAAGATAATAATTAGAAATGTTTTTTTTTTCAAAGCTTACATCAATAGAAATATTTTTACAACTAATCTAAGCAAAAAATTGTGAAAAAAATTAAATAATTTTATTTAAATTTTTTTGTATTTACTTTATAGATTTTTCAAATTGGATTTTTTTATTGAAAAATAGAAAGTGGATATTATTAAGACTCAAAATGTTTAAGCAAATAATTGGATTTGAAACATTTTACATTTGGATAATATTTATACCATTTTTTGATATTTTAATAGTAACCAAATTTTGTAATATTTTACAAATTTATTTTTAGTTTTAACAATTTTTGATATTTTTTCCTGAGTAAAAATATATATATATATATATATATATATCCTAATAGGTAGATCATTCAAATAGTGCAACAAAGGTGTGAGATTCAAAATTATACACACAAAGCTTGCAAATTGGCTTTAACTCCACCTCCACCCAGAACATTTCATAGATGTGATGGGAAGGGTAGTTAGAGATATCCATTTCACAAATTCTCATGACAACTTCACTTGCAATAGAATTGCATAATTTAGGGTCTTGATGCTTTACCCTAAGAGATCGAGAGCGTCGTTGACTGTTGCTTTCAGTGTGATTAGTGCTAAGCTAAGGAAGAAGTCACTTGGGATACGTGATTATTTTGAGTTTATGGGCCCAGTGCAAGCTGAACGCACACTTTCAATGTATCTGGCGGTGATGCTCTCCAGGACGACATTGCTTCTTTCGTGTAGTTTGCCATGATGACTCACTGTTCTCAACTTACGGCACATTTTTCATTAACTTTGCACTGCATCTTGAGTCCACTGAAACACCTTCTGTGTTGCTTCTCCTTCATTTTTCACCATTTCTCGTAACTGTCAACATTCGAACTTTCAATTGAATGCCACAAACTGTAAGGCCCAGCAACGTGGATTTCGTCATTGGAAGGAGATTAAATTTGTCCAAACTGCTTTGGAGATAACCAAATGTAGGAATTTGAAGATCGATGGTGAATGCTTTTGACAAGTTCAGTGTTTGCCTTTCTAGAGCTGGGTATGACTTTCTCGGTCGCACGAAGGCATTAGCAAATTATCAATACTGTTAAGGTATTCTATACCGCGATTCAATTAGAATGAGTCGAAGATTAATCGTACTCTCATTTACCTTCTTGTAGGTTGCAACCAGTGGCATTACAACTGCTTGTTTCGAAATGTCTGCGTACTGTGTCGTTCATTTGTGAACGAAACAATTCTTAGTCGATGTGGGTTATTCACTACTATGTTACAAGTCAACTACAGATGTTAATTCAGCATGAGAATGAATGCATCTGGAACGCCATTGTTTCCATACCTATCCTCCAGGTTTACTGCCAAGATTAGGCTCAACTGACCCTTGCAATGGTAGGGAAACTGATAAGAAAATATGCACGTAAAAACTCTTCTCCCATTAAATCCTCTTTCCAAATGGAATACAGAATAAGGTTTCGTCCAAATTGCAAACAGCAGTTTGCTAAACCAGAAAATCGAGAGGTCACAGCACTACACAATCTAAAAGTATGAGCGCAACACTAATTCCATCCACAAATAGTGAAAATGTCCATCACAACAGTATTTCATAATGTGTGCTCGGAACTTTCTGATCATTCTTGATCGTGACAACCTTCAAAGGCTCTTTCTAGGATTCAAGATGACAAGAACTGCCCCAGTACTGATTACACCAAAAGAAGACCGTCGTTAACAACTAATCTCTACAAATCTTGTAAGCGCAGTCAATGTCCACCATCACAGTTCACATTGTCGCCAAATCGTCATGATTGAGCTCAGAAGAGAAATACATTGTAGATGAAGATCTGAGATTTGATTACCGATAAAAATAAAAATAAAAACAAACTCCACAGATCTCCCTTCATGGCGTTATAGGTGTCGAAGGCACATCGACTTGTGTATGGTTCTTCTTCCAAACCCCTAACTGCCAGATTCAAAAAATGTAGCTGTTAGAAGAACATTATCAGGTGAGTGGAAAAGGAAAATCAGAACCATGAGAACTCTCGTATATCGACCTGCACAGCTGTGCACAGAAATATTGACATGTTACACAAGCCCGTTCTCAAATAGAGAACACTGACTTAATAAAACGAACACTAGCGTGATACCAATACCACAGCTAGGGATTTGTTGGAGCTAGTGGTAAGAGCATTCTTAGACTGTCCGATTGGGATACAGGAACAAGACATACCTCAAAATGCAAGAACGAACGAAGATCACCTCAGGAGTAGTGATTTTCAGAAGGTTGGTTTGTCCTCATCCTATCGCCTTACACTGGCCTCTCCTCGTGATTAAACAAGGGAGGCCATGGCAGATCAGGAAGAATAGTCCTCTTGCCGGATTCCGCTGACTGAGAAGAAAAATCACCAACAATGGAGGACTGAACTACGCCAGTTTCACGTATACCTTCTGGGTTCTCCAAAAAGTGACAAATACACACAATCAAGGAGCAGTCAAAAACACTTCTTCTCACCACCACGCTCCTAAGGGAGCTCGGGTTACGACTACAAACACATCCGCTTATATCGAACCCTTGGTTTTGTCGATCATTATTCTTCAACACTTCCATTTTCGGCACTGCCGTTCAGCAACTTCTCCTCTTTATTGCGGCCATCCTTGCCAATCTTGACGACCATTGGCAGGAGGGGAGGTCCATTGCTTGTTGGTACACGCTCACCCATTACGGCATCAGCCAAGCGCCGATCCACGTAAAAAAACACAAAATACACGGTGAACCAAGCCACGACGATATCTACAGAGTAATGCTTGTGCGAGGCTATGATGAGAAGGCTCAAAGCAACCATCGTCAGAAATGCAACAAATTTCATCCATTGTCTCGTCCCGTACTTCACATAGGAGTGGAAGAACGTCAATGCGAATGTCATGTGTGAGGAGAATATTAAGTCTCCACATCCATATATCACTCCATATGGAAAATTCAAGAGTAATACATCTTTGACGTTCTTCGGGGGCGGCAAGATAGCCGTTGGCTGACCCTCGTGACAATGATAGTTTGGCCCAGGCAACTGCGTCACCATAAACGACGCCATTCTCAAACACTGGCAGATCACTAGACACATAAGCACTCTGACCCACAGCAGTGCAGTGTAAAATCGCTTATTGTAAAATACGAAAGGGTGGAATGACCACAGAAGAAAAGAAACAAAAACGAGAGTGAAAAGAGATTCGCTTATGTGCGCATTCTTTTTTCCAAGTTCCGGGAGGTACTCGAAACCAACATCGTGAAGCAACGGTCCCGGATGGTGTTGATAATGTGCGATACGTGCACCAACTCCATGTACATACTGAAACAGCAGCCCTCCAATAATCAACTTCCAATTCTCCAACAGTAGCAACCATTCCACTGAGAGCTCCATGATCCCTCTCTTCCATAATTTTGAAACTTCCCGTGTTACATAGGTTGGCAATCCCATAATCCCCATCATCTTTTCTACGAAACCAAACAATCGTCTGTTTGAATCGAGAATAGCTCCCCGTCCTCCCACAGAACCCTAACCCACACACATCGCAGTATTCACCGAGTCTATTCAAATCAAACCTCTATGCTATATTCCCTCTTTTCTTCACACATGACCGCGCAACTTTAAACGACTAAGGCATTCTCCATCATAGACTTGAGGGCTAAGTGTCTTAGCTTAAAGAACGAGGTCGCACATCGAAGTGTTGGCGTACGTAGAGCAAGCGATCCACATGGGTCGGTCTCTTTCTCGCACACGCAACTGACCCAAACCTCCACCAAAAACTCACACATCAAACAAACCACTTCCGTGTGATCCAACACGGCAAATCAACCACGGCTTACTGTTGCAGGAGGTCAAGCTATATACCTTGCAAAGAACTGGAGTTCTGTAAACTTTTTTATGGCGTTACAGCTTAACTTCGGGCTGTAAAAAGGGGGTCTCACGTTGGATTACCAGCAGTAACCTCAATCGGATTCAGGACGAGGGCTGCCGTTAAATTCTGAACAGGACGAAGAGTTCTGGGAAGCTGAAAGTTGAACAGTTATAAGGTCGGATTCACACTTGAGCTCTCCGCCTCCCAGAAAAAGAATCCTACTGTCCCAGCTTCATGGGGGCGGCAGGTTAGTTCGGCCCCTTACTCGGACAGTATCATGGCAACTCGTTCTGGACACCAACCTTCTGAAAGTTCGGCTAACGTTTGTGGCTTCCACTGGGACAGCTTGCAAGGACATCTGGGGCCAGGTTCTTTTTTTAATTAACTCGTCATTCGGAGGGAATGTTGCACTAAGAGGACAAACCTGGCAGTTGAAAGCAAGCCATGAATTGATGGTTTACTTTCCGAGTCTACTTTTTCTAAGTTTGAAACCATCTTCTATTGCTTTTATTAACCCTCATGCAATTCTCGCACAAAAACTCTAGGACAGTAAACTTTTCAAAGGCGCTTCAGATCTCAATTGGTCTAGGTCCTTCGCACCTACGGATTTATTCCTCGAGCGCAGGAAACGACTCGATGAAGTTCTTACTGCAGTCGCTGGAATACTGCAAGTGTTGCGAAAGGTCTGCAACGCATTGCTACAGACGGTTCCTACTAAAAGATGACATATTTGTATGATTTAACGGAAGTTTACCAAGTAGCGTCTAAGAACAAAGCAATGATCAGAGAGGGCGGGAACCTTCGGGGTGGTTAATGAGCTTAATCAGCCAGACATGGAGAGGGAGCTTCACAGCACGGTCAACCCCTCGTTTGAACAACACAAAGTTCTTCACAAAGGAGACGGCATCGTTGGGTCATGTCAATAATTTTGCTGTAACCATATTGAATGCTTTTAGTCACTGAAAGCAGATCGTGCCCTAGCACTTCTAGTCAATCATGATCGATTTGAGAAACATCTCGTACGAACAGCAGGCCACAAGTTTCCACATTAGGTTCCAACTCTCGAATGGCACGATCCGTCGTGATTGAGGGCTTACACAAATTTCAAACTCCTACAGCAACTCGAGTAGAAAACGACCGCTGAACAGTAGGCAGCTCCGCTTGCGTGCTGCAACATAACTCTAGTACGTAATATGCAATAAAAGTAGACTCTGTCAGACTCGGTAATGAACAACTGTCAGAAGAATACTGGAACTGGTAAAAACCACTAACTATTCGCAAATAGTGTACAATTTGGAGTAAGAACACATCTATGTGCAAACCTGTGATGACAAGACAAAATTTTGGCGATAGTGATGTGAGATGCACTGACATATTAACAGCTTAAAAAAGTGTATTCCAAGTCAGACTAAATACCCACTCTTTCAGGCAATTTAAGCTGACACCATTGGGCCCGCTAGGTACGAAACAAGGTCACTCAGACAATTCCAGGTAAGAAGAGCAGAAAAGTCATGTTGATATGTTTGAAATAAACAGTGAGTTAACAGTCATCTAAACACTGACATCAACGGCTCTTCGTGTTTACAAGTTAGGACTATCAACTGTGCTGTATTGCATAATATGTACATTAGAAGCACCTTCTTGATAGATTGATCGAAAGATAAATAAACATTAATCTAAGAGCTTAATGGATGGAAGCTTGTGGAATGACAGGCAATGGCTTATGAAGAGCAGAGAATAGCAGCAACCTGACCAGTGACAGTTGGTTACTTAACTTGGTAACCTGTTGACAATGTTAAAATTAAGTTCTGCTGAGATCCTAGGCAAAGCCCATCCTGGAATCATTATGTTCGCATCAGGCTCACTACGCACAGCATCCATTGCGATGGTGAAGCGAAGTACATTCAAAGCTCCTCAGCATTCTCTTTCTGATCTGTTACTGTGCTTCCTGTGACGAAGTCCTTGACTTCCAAAAGGATCAACTGACCTGCTTTGGCTATATCATAAGACATAAGCGCGATCCTGCTTCCAACCCAACTTCCTACTTGACTACCAATAAGATATCCAACTCGTCCCAGTTTATCCTCTCCCTGGACATGACAAAGAATTATCAGCCCTACTAATGATAACTACCCACACAAGAACCACAGACAAGAGAGAAAACTTAAGGTTTTACACAGGGTTTTTACTCAGCTTGAAGCACCAGGTTCTATATATATATATATATACATACTGAACATTGAATGGAAGCGAAAGTAAAGGCACATTACGATCATGATGATTACCAGTAAACCGCCCCACCAAGTCCCACAAAGCGTGCCAGTTGCCCGCATTACGACCTCCGCTATACTCCCCCCATAGTAAAGAACCTCTAAAGAATCCCAGGCAGCTGCGAAGAGAGGTCCAGAGATTCTTCGGGCTTGTCTGGACCTGTCCTTCGCAAAAGCTTTTGCAATACTTTCAGCTTTCCTCTTGGCTTCTGACATTCCCAATCCATCTGAAATTGCGGATTGCAAAGCAACATGGTATGCCTTTTGCTTTGATCGTTCAACTATACTTGTGCGAAGATTATTAGTGTAGAATTTTGAGCTTATTTTCACTGCACATGTTAACGAACCAAAGCCGAGGTTAAAGCAGTCTCCAAAATCATCCTTGCCGGTCTTCGAAGCAACCTCATCTCCAAATTCTCTTCGCGCTTCTTTGGCTGAGCACAAGAAACACCAAATGCCACTGAATGTAAGTTGTGCAGTAGAAACCTGCAACAGCTACCAGATCAATTTTCTACTCAAATAAGAGTCAACGAAGAGTCCAAAGCGTCATGAAACATGCAAGTGAGACAACTTGAAATAAAATAACGCATTTGATATACAACAACATTTTAACATCAACAAGCAATGGTGATAAAAGTCGAAAGCAGAGATTGCCTAGTCAGAGGTTCTACAGAAAAGGAATAACAAGGACCAAGTCTGCCTAGCTCATCTTAACAGCGCTGGAGTGAGGAGTATATTAAAAGGTAGCAGTTACACGCCTCCTAGGTGCAGAAGAATAAAACCAACAACAAACGCCAGCCCTAAACCAAAATTCCTCAACCGCTGTGGCTTGGCCTGCGTTTGAACGGGTGTCTGGGCCATGTTTCCTTCCTCCTCTCTGTGATAATAGCAGCAGCTTCGAACGTCAGAATATGGAGAAATGGTCTCTGGTGAAGTACAACTTGAAAATAATCCAAGCTCAGAAAAGAAGATCTATAGTGCTGATAAATAAAACCCCATTATTCGTGATTGGATCAGGAAAGAAATTCATGACAAATTAAAGTGACTCGTCACATAAATAAAAACCGAAAGGTTTATTTTTCTGAAGGGGACATGAAGCTGCCAAAATCCTTTAAGAGATTTATGCTGAAGAGCACAATCTGATACCAGTAATAGCTCAAATTACTAAGACCACAGACACGCCTCTGAATTGCTCCATTATGATACGCTTATGTTCATATAATTTTCGTGTAACATAAACCTTCGCCTGAGAAACCAACAACCAAGCATCTATCCAATCCTGCAACATGAAGATCAGGACTGTTTTGCAAGGTCCGACAAGGACGACCACGTATTAAGCCAAGAGAAATGCCAGCAGTGCGGAATTCTGGCTCCATTAAATCAACGTTAGTTAGTGACCGTTTCAGAACCAAGAATTCACGACTCTAGCACTGTCAATGAGCAGAAAACAACAATCATGTAACTAAAAACCACTCGTAGAGTTCAAAATCCCTAAGTATTCAGAAATTGAATCAAACACGAAACAAGAAACATACCAAAATCTCACAGATGATTTTTCGGTCCAGACGCCTTACGACATCAGCGCAATACCACCACAGAAACCTCCAACGTTCGCAGCTTCACCACGTAAAGCGCCGCTAGGATACGTTCCAAACACGCTGCAGAATTTTGCGGTTTTGGTCACAAACAGCACTTGAAATCATCATGGCCCAAACCTGCCCAAACAACACTAGCAAAACTCCTCCGTCGACCTCAAGCTCTCGGAAAATCGAATCGAGACATGAAAAGTCTCGAAAGAAATGAGGAGGACATTACGAATGCAGCATCGACGTGGCAATTGGTGCATGCGATGTGCAAATCGGAGCGGCGTGAATCCAAAATCGGCTGAGGAATGGCACCACCACAGCGTATTGGATGGACAGAATTATTGCGTATTGGATGGACAGAATTCTTGCAGGATTAATGTTTTGTCACTTTCATCCAAATAATAATCAACTCTTAATTATTATGTAAAGCAATCTTAGTGACTTCCTTCTTCATGTTTTGAGTAGAATTAAGGCTCTTTGCTTCGAGAGCAGTGTTTTCAAGGAAGTTGTTGATGTGTTATATAAGTATTTTTATATTGAAGAAAGAATTTATCAACACAAAAATTAAAATTGTTCTTAAATCTACAGTTGAGATTTTTGTTTTGTAATCCAATTATATTATTTTTAATTGCAATTTTTTTCTATTTTTATTAAAATGAGTATATTTTTTGTGTGCAAATCTTTCTCCTTTCATCAAAAATAATATTAACGATCTTTAATAAAGCATGTAATAGATGTTTTTTTTTATTCTTATTACAAATCTTCTACTTGTAAAATTTTTTTTATGTCAAAATCAACAACTCTCACTGTAAAATAAATAAAAAATAATAATAACAAAAAATTTTCAATTTTTTTTTTTGAAAGCTTATTTAAATTGATAACTAAAACACTATCAATGTTTGTGGTACCAAGAGTACTAGTTTTGATCATAAATTTGTTTTGTTTTGTTTTGTTTTTTTTTTTTTTTTTTTAAATAATTGAATGTCTCTTAATTTTAATATTCTTGTTAAAATCCTAAAAATTAGGACAAAAAATGCAAAATGTATTTTAATTACTTATTATAAATTAAACTTTGTATTTGAAATCAAGCAGATTTAAAAATAAATACTTTAAATCATTAGGGTTAGAATAAATAAGATTAACTAGTTTTGGAGATTGTTAATATATATGTGTATATATATATATATATATATAACTAAAATTATTTACATTCACTAACAATTTAAGTTCATCTTATACTCAAAATTACATTGGACTTGAACTTCAAAATTATACACAATTAAGTATATGCCAAGAATATTGGTATGTAGATTCAAATGTTAATGCAAGAATTAAGACTATAATAAATGAATTACTTTGACTAGTAAGCTTTTAAAATTGATAGTTTAAAAATATAATCATACAGTTGAATTTTGTGAAATTTGACTAAATTTTCAAGAGATAATATTAGTTTTTTATTTAAATTTTAATGTTAAATGTAAATATTGCCTTTATGCATTGTGTTCAACACTAAAAAGCACAATATAATCATAGAGAGATCTTCAAAATCATTTATCCATCTTCTTTATTAAGATGCAACTCCCATGCATTTGTGTAAATGTTGAATTAATAGAATTACATATCTCATTGACTTTAGTGTGCAATAAAAACGTGTAGATGCCTTTATTCAAACATTAACACATCAACAGTATTACATTCATATTTCTATAAAAACGGTATTTTTGAATTTTCCAAAACATTGCAAAATCACAATGATAGGAACAAAGTAGTCACCATTTTGAAAGCCCCGAGTCCTGAGGGCGTCAATACCGAAAGCTTTTGAAGAACCAGAACAACGTGGAGAATGAAACTCACCACCGTTGGAAACATCTCCACTGCCAATTTCAGAGCCAAGGTCAGAGCGAATCAGCCTGCCTTACATGCTGATACAAGATACGCGGATGATACTTGGGTGCATAGATATACATGGAGAATGGGCCAACACAAGGAGGAGTTCCACACCGTTTATAGAGAACCTCAATTTAGAAGGCTTCAAAACCTGTGAGGCCTACGATACACGCGAAACCCAACAGTTAAAACTGCCAGATGGGTTCTGCCTCGGACGACCGGAAACTGACTGTTGTAAGAAGTCGAAGGCACGTGCACACTCTGCGGATCTCAAGTTCTGACAACTTGAGGTTCTCAACGTGGGTTACAAAGTGGGATGCAGGCGCTCTTCTGAGAGGGACTCGACCCAAGTTGCTTGATGACTTGAACTGCAAGTTTGCACGATGACCGATGTCAAGTATTCTTGCAAGTCCTGGATGTGACGAACCACGCTCTTCAGAATATCACCATGTTTTACTGGACGTCACATATTGTGGAAGTGGACAAAAATGATTCAAATCTTTGGGTCTCGACTAGCTCGTATCATGATTTTACTTCGGCGGATGCGTCACTGTCGCGAGCTCCTAATATATCTAATTGGCAGAACCAAAGGACAAGCCGATTTGTTCTAAAAGCTCCGAGACATTGGTGCAAGTCTTTCCATGAGGAACTTCAAGTTAGCTGGGACTGCGACCAGTGGCTAGCCGTGCGAGAAAAGATCTAGAGCGGGAATTAGAGATCAAATCAGTCTCTACATTGAAAAATGCATATCTTGTTTGTTATCATAAAAGATTTACCATCTCATTCATGAAAGAAAAAAATAACTATCATAAAATGGAATCTGCATTGTATAAAGAAGTTTGTACATTTTCAAGTCATTCATTTGAAGTACCTAGTCATGCAACACCTTGCAAGCCTTGGGCAAGATGTGCTAAACACGGCTCACTTTGTGACACGTTGCTCAACAACACCACTAATAGTTTAAGTTCCTTGAAAAACTCTTCGTCGATTTTCCTGCACGAGTAAAGCATGCTCTTAAACTCAAACAACAACAACAACCAGCAGCTGATAGCCCCAAATTCGAGAAAACCATGAATGAAGGCATGGTAAAATTCTCTATCAAGTGCATGATTGTCTAATACGTGAATGATAAGCCTCCAACGTGCAGAATCTCCTTGAGTAAATTCTCATGAGTAGACCCAGCATTTGAAGTACAGTAAGCAAAATTGTTTATAAGATCACACAAATGATATCGAGGAACATGTCATCTTACCCTATTGTCATCTTGAAATTGCTGTCTTCAGCTGCTTGCCTAGCATGCATAGGATATTCAATTCTTCCTCGCCTCTCCTTGTAACCTTTCTTTGATTTATTGTTCGTGGAACTTGATTGCTGAAAATTTTCGTTCTGGCGGAATAGTGCTGGGATCAACCACTGAGTTGCAGTTGCATATTTCAGACAAATAAACTTCAGCTTGTCCACTTTCTGTAAATGAACACATAATTAGAGCAGTATCAACACACCAATACAAAGTAGTAGAAAGTTTCAAAAGCTTAAGAAAAAAGCTTCATATTTACAGAGTAGTGAACTCAGAAAGGGTTGAACTCAAGAATGTTGCTCGCGTTTCTCTTGAGGTTGCATTCTAACGCACAGTCGGCATTTATTGGATAGAAGGTAGCGTTAAAACAAATAGCACACTGAGGACACGCACCTTCAAGATCTGAGGCCATAAAAGTGTGCACTGTCTCAGACACTTCTCCAAGAATGCGTCATGATGCTGCATAACCTACAGCCAGAAAAAACACGTAAAAGGTTGGTATTCTACCTTGCACTCCAGATATTGATGTGTGTCAAGTTCCAAACCGTTCAAACCGAAGTCTTAAATAACAATATAAGTATACATCACAAAAAAAGTTTTACACTTGCGAAACTCAAGCCCATAAAAAATTTAGGTTGATCATCAGCATCTTTAACGTATAAAAACAGAGCACTTTGAACACTCACTTCATCAATACTTTTGGCATTTAAAAGCTGACCATGCATTATGTGCCAGTTCGGCTCCAGAACCTGCAATCAATCCAAAGTTTAGTGCTGGACATAATATGCATTGGAGAAAATACTGGACATGCGGTCACGTTGAAAACGATCTCTCTGCCCCGAGTCACATGATCATTCTCATAACTAGACCCAGTGTTAAATGATGGTTTCACACACCTCAAATGTCATGTAGTGCTGGAAAGTCTGCAGAAAGTGGAGCATCCGTTGACAAACGACATAGGATCGAGATATAGCAGTTCCCAAGGTATTGACTGTGCGCACTGTAGACTGATATAAAAGAACAACAAAAAGCCCAGATATTAATTCACAATTGCTACACTTGACAGCAGGTCCATCACTAGAGCCAGAGTCCACAAAACGAAAGCACGTCACTCTCAGGGAGGCCAAAATTCTCACTATATTTATCGAGTTTGATGCAGAAAAATTCTCAAGTACACAAATATCCTGGACACAGATAATCATGCAGCTGCCATATGCTTTCTTTTTATTTTAAAAATCAGCATAGGTTGTGCGGGGATATGCTAAGTGATTAAGATAATGAATGCTGACTACCTGGTGCTTTTGCCACGTTGCACACAACTGACGTTCCACATGCTTGCAATGAAAAATATGTCGAAATATGAGCTGATACTTTGTCAGTGCTTTTCTGGAGACGACTAATGACAAAGGCCATTTAACCTGCCAATCTCACGATACTTAGGCTCCTTTCTAAGGCTACAGAAAATAAGATAGATAAAGTTAAAAAAATATATAGATCTTGCGTATCTTCTTAGTCCTTGCAAGTCTCAATCTCATAGCTGCTAACAGATTGAACAAGAAGTTCTCAAATGCACCTGCCATTATTATTCTCTCTAGTGCACGCAGAGCGAAATAACAGATTATCGCTGGCTTGTGTGTTCCCAAGTGTGAAAGTAAGTTACCTTGTATTCTAGAGTGAATGTCTCTAATCCGGTCGTGCTTCCACTGGCGAGCCCTGGTGCGTTGGCACTTTCTGTAGGGCCTGTATGCTGAGAAGTGACCGTTCCATTGCGCACGATGTTATGCAGCTGCGTCATGAGACTTAACTCTTCCTGCAGTCACGAGAGTAACACCACAACAAATAAAATGCATGCACGGTTGCAAATTAATAATAGTGCATCGCATAGTGTCAAACCAGTTTTTGAGAAGATGGGAATGCCGTAAAGGCTTGTTTACTGGGTGTCTGGAGTCGCTTGGTGATGAAATAGTTTCCCTAGGGAAAGCAACGATAACAATCCTATTTAAGATCATAATCAGAATAACACATGCAGAGATACAAAGGGTTTCCAGATAGCAGGTTTGCACATTTTGTATACAATTCCCAACAGCAAGGTCGGACTTCAGTCTGAAGTCTTTTTAAGAGATAACGAGGCAGCAGGCACTTTCAGTCTAGGGCCAATATAAACAAGTCATATTAAAAGAGAGATATGATCTCACAATGCTGCATGTGAGGTCTTCATGATATGGATCTGAAGCCGCAACTGATGTTCGTAGAGCCAACTCCAACAGAGACTGTCCACCAAGTAAAACGATGTAATCTTAAGTAAGACGAAGTTAAGAACCAAAACCAAGGACAAAAAACAGACAAACTATGGCATGATAGTGATGATATTTCCTCTTAACGCTTATCACATTCAAGTTTAGAAGAATGAAGAGCACACCTGCAATTTCTCAACAGACATTGCTGATGGCTTCCTTGTAAGCTCATCTTTTGCTGTGTCCATAAAGTGAACAAGAAAGTCACCCTGCGCTTGAACAAATCCAATACAAATGCAAAGTTGTCAGTTGATGATTAATAAATGCAATAGGTACAAGCACAAGAGAGGAAGCTCCCCCTTGTAGAACAAACTTGAAAAAGAGTAAAACTCAATACAATATAAAAAGAAAAACGCATTTGCACGAGTCTTCGTGAAAATTCTAGAGCCGCTTTCACTAGGTTACGATGACTAATTTATGTACCTGATCAACAAAAAAGTAGTGTTTGATAGATCGAAGCCGTCCAATTAAGTCAAACTGCACGGAAAAGTCGTGTATAAGATCCAAAAGAAAGCTATCAAGCAAATAACGGAAAGGCCACTGGGGAAATTGCACTCTACTATAACTAACCAACACCAGACTACTCTAATCCATTTAAGAGGGTATTGAATTATGATCACTCATACAGGTACATACACAAGTGTAAACTCTAACTCTATCGAATTTGACAACTTCAAAAGGAAAACAAAACTTCAGCGATGTTTAAAAATAATTTAGTAATCTAGTAATTTGTTATCTGCAGCTGTTTCTAAAATCACTACGCAGAATTTTCCAATTAATGACACCCATATCAATATTTCATCGTCCATGTTGTTCTTTTTTTTTGAAATAAAATATAAGTTTTGGACTTGCCACCCATCTACTTCTACGCTGTTGAAGTTACCATGCAATAACTTTCAGAGTTCATTCTAATTCGGTAGTTTACTAAAACTACACGAATACTAAATGGACATTTTATGCACCTTATTTTTTATCAGGTTGAGAAGTTCTGCACTCGCAAAATCATGTGCGACATTTATACGTTCTAAGACTTGCTGCTGAGCATGCCCACTCGATGATGGGCCATTCTCTCCCGAAGGTACCTGCAGCATTTACTTTTTCAATATAAACTCATTCATACCACTTTTCATGATTGAACCGATGCAATCTTGTACCACGAGAAGCCATCCAAACCGACGGAGAGTACTCAATGGATTCTTATATGGTACTTAGGAATGATGCTACTAGCAAAAGTACCTACAATAGGACTCGAGCAGAAGACAATTGAACTGGTGGCGGTCCCACAGATCGCCTACCAATGCATCAAAGAACTACAGTATGGCTGACGAGCTTGGCAAGAAATAATCTAGACAATTCAGTACTATGTTAGTATGAAGAAAAGAGTCAAGAAAATTGTAAAAACCCTAGAACGTAAATTACGGGTGGAAAACCCTCATGGCCTCGTAGCATGTTGTTATATTGGTATGAGAGCGACAAGATAAAAACCTGAACAATGTGACCACACTCGCGCATGGCATTCAAGTATTTCCCAGTGGTAAGGATGGTTTTAGCATAGCTCGTAATGAATCCAGGAATCTCTTGCCGTAGACTATAACGCTGTTGCCAATATGTAGCATAGTAGTCCTGGCTTAAACTTTCCTGAAATTGCAACATTCACCAAGTAAAGCCTTGAATTACATCCTGTAAGGTTAGCAGATAAGAAAGCATATTTGGGGGAAATAAGATGCTCTAAGACAGCGCTGCAAGAACCGCTTCAACAGCTGTTAAGACTCCATTACTGTTTTGAACAGAATAAAAGCACGCAAACCTTCTGCAATGATTTATTTTCGTTGATCAAGAATTCACCATAGGGGTCATCAATCACGCCTTCGTAAACCCATCTACAATGTACCACCACATGAGGTTAGAAAACCACCAGATAAACATTTGCTACAAAAGTACACTAATTGTTAGGTTGTTTAGTACACAAGCCAATTGCATGATTTCTGCAAGACGAATTTCACGACATAGTGTACCCAAGCTAAGAAGATATACCGATGTGCTAACTTCACAATAGACTTCAAAGGACCGAGACTTTGTAATGTATACTCTTTTGGTCATTTTAAATTGACTCTTCAATACAACAATGTCAACAAATACCGTTCTTATTCTGGTACAGAAAGGTTAACTTAAAACCCTATTGGGGAGAGAGAGAGAGAGAGAGAGAGCAACTTCTCGGGTCCCTTCTAAAATCCCATGATGACGCTTGTGTAGAAAAATGAATTAGAGTAACCTTTGCTATTTTATGTGTTCCAATTAATACACATCATCACAAGTACTGTAGCCCAAAGTAACTACCAAAACTAATGTATTTTTGAACAAAGACACATTACCTTTCCAATATTCTGAAGTAAGGAGTGCTAGCTGCATGGATCAGCTTCTGAAGCAATGACCTAGCTGAGTTGTCGCCAGCCATGGCTATCGCCTGCTTCATGCCAAATATATAAGACACAAATAGACGCAAAGACACGCAGTCAGACAACTACAGCGATAATAGACAACCACTAACGATCTATCAGCACGTTTAAGTAGATGGACAAGAATCAGAATAAAAAGAGTGAAGAATTTCGTGACTATTGTATATACTTCAATTACCGTCATTTACATGTTATCACTCAAAATGTTTTACATCTTTGACCAAAAGAAAGATTATATATATATATGTATAGAGAGAGAGAGAGAGAGAGAGAGAGAATAAATGATTGAATGAAGACTTCACCTGCTTCTGCAGCAGATTGAGCATTGTTGCACCAGATGCATGCTGCACAATCGCTCTCTGGACTGCCGTAGAAAGAACTTGCATAGCAGCAACCATAGGCTGAAGAGAAATCATAGATTAAGTTAGAAGTCACTTCAAAACTTGTGTATTATTTAGATTACAGGGGTGTTGGCGTTGGAAATAATATGATCACAGCAAATCAGATAAGATTGCTATTTCTGAGGCAAACGTCGCGTTGTATAACTACATGAAATTCAAATTCCGGTTGATCTGATATAGCTTACACACTAACTCCGTGCGCTATATTAATGTAAAGATATCCCAGAAGAAAGAATAACCTATCATATAGTACACGTAATACTTGCTATGGTTAAAGTTAGCACTAACCTGACAGAAAAACCACAAGCCTTGAAGGGAAAGACGACCTAATCGATATTGATGCTCAAGCTGCGCGGTCATGGCGTGATAATCCTACAAATAAGGACATGAGTTGGTTAGTGTTGCATGACATCTCTCAACACAACAGCCCAATTCAAAAGGTTTAAGGTTTATGTAATAATGAACTGTACGAAACTGCCACATACTTCAGGATTTCATTCAGTGCTTTCATAAATTTGAGAACCTGAACTAATCAATATTTGGAAATTGGTCTCTTATCTACTGGAAGAAAAGGTTCTGCGTTTCACATACAAAACAAAATCCAATGATGAGAGTTAAGATTATTATTTCATGTCAGAAATTAACAAACATGCTTCAAAAGTGCAAGATGATCATGGTAGCAACCTGTAAGATAGCTCTTAGTGCCGCCGCAAATGCGTGATTGACCAATCCATGTTTGAAATGCGATCGAGCTTCTGCAAATTGGCTAACTACAACATAATTTTCACACAAGGGAAGAATCCTTTTGGCCAAATCCTGCACATCAATGGTATGAATATGTTATTAAATATACGTGCAACTGATAACAAAAAAGGAAACATTGGTACAACTCTTGCAGCAATAGTACGACGAAATTAGTGAGAGGTCTTACACTTAAAGAAGCATCCAAAGTTGGATCCAGTTGATAGGAAAAGGAGTTTCCTTCTTTGTGCCAACCCCTTCGCGCAAATACATATTTACCCTCAATCCCAACAATTGCAGAAAGCAAGTCCTCTATCACCAGTAGCTCCTGTCATATGAAAGAAAAAGAGTGTTATTCTTGTGGGACCGAAGTCAAGCATTTATAATCACTAAAATACTAAAGGAGTGATCGACCCACTCAATTTCTGAATATGAACCTGATCAACTAGAGAAAAAAATGGGTCTCTCCGATTTCTAATCCTATTACACTAACCTGGACATAGGGTGAAAAGCTGGAAAGCGGCTTGATTGTTTCCCTATGACTGCAACATACAAATAAATGTATCAGGAATGTACTACGATCAGGAAGATTTGATATAGAAAAAGTACTAACTGCATGTCAATGTACAAGATGCAAGAGTTATCTTGATGTCACTGCATCGAAACACAGATATGGTCTGCATTGAATATGCTGCCACATGCTGAGTAACAGCTCACAATAGAATTCACCTCGATTACTAGTGCAGATCGAAGGATAAAGAGACATTGATAAAATAAGTAAAATGTAATGAGCCCAATGCCATGCGCCTATTGCGTCGTATGTATTCACAACGTCATTCTCTTCCCTTTCTTCTCTACATGTCCTAACACGCTGTTATTTTTATGAGACCTAGGAGGAAGAAAGTACCTGTTTGCTTCTTTCTCGAGGTGAATAGACTTGGAAGTTGGACTCCGCCTTGTGCTATTCGGTGTACTGCTCTGTCAGAATTAAGAAAAAATATAATGAACATGAATCTACTGAGTCGAAAACCTGATGAAAATAAGTCAGAAAAGTAGGTCATTTCCGAGAAATACTACAATCGCCGTTGCATGTGAAAAGGTGAATGTGACCAAGCAAGATTGAGTAAACTATACCTGGGGAAATAGTTGACCAGTAAGATAAGGTCTATCAATATTCCACCTAGGAGTAGCTGGATAGGATACGCCCTCTATAAGTGACTTCGGTACATCGAGAATTTCTGCAGACACATCATCTCAACTGACTTCATACTTTGCACATCCTCTTAGCTTCATGGGTTTTGACGGGTTGCACTTATTGGTATCAACATGTTAAGAACAGGAATATAAACCAGCACTAAAAACAAAGGCAAAAAATCGACTGTCAATGTGATGCAACATACTTTCAGATCGTATAGAAATCCAGCTGGCAGATCCAGCCTGACCGCCATCGTCAATGCTCAGCCTCCGCTGACTAGAACCAGGGACAGACTTAAATATGTTCTCAGCTTCTCTCATTTTCTTTGACGGCAAGCTCTCATCAAGCTGAAAATTGGGTGCATATGAATGAGAGAAAACGACCTTGATAAGTTAGAAACAAAAGCACGCATCGACGGAAAGTGCACAAAAATGAAGTTGTATTTTCAAACAAATTAATCCAAGGTTTCGCAACCATTGCAAGCCAGCCATCCATATCCAAGCATCTGCAGACACAACATAAGTAGCAAAAGTTTGCCCATGGGCTTTCAAATTCAATATCGATCGGAAAAAGAATTCAATGAAAAGCACGTTCGTGATTATTACCTCCGATGATGCATATCCAGAAAAATCCGGAGTACGAGGTTCGGCAATATCTTGATCCAAGGAGGGTTCTGGACCCTGATCTTTTGACAGAAGCTCCTTCAAAGAGGGCTCTGAAATAATCTGACCAACCAGCCAAATGTACCTATCAATACCCTGCACCCTGAAGATGAAAAAAGAGAGGATCAAAGAGAGCAGTTAAAAAAGCATTTAGAGGGAATGTTCAAGCTACTTACTCAGGTATGTAAAACCATTTGTACTAGATAGAGCTGAAGTAGAGAAAGAATGTCACAATTATCAAACAATGAAATCCATGTCTCTATGACCTCAAAGCAGACTCCACAGCACCCATAGAGTCCTGGCATAACCCCCCGAAATATCATCCTGCTAATTGAAGAGATAGCAAACAATACCCAGCATCCTTTAGTTCCTCGATCTTCTGAATTAACCTCTGCGGGTGTTGGGATGAAGCCAGAAGTATTCTTTGCTCTTGCAAAAGCTGAAGCTGCGATAACAAACCAACCCACGTTAAGAGGCAACAAACATTGACTTTCTCTCCAACCTAACTGCTATACCAGCTGCTTCTGGGGACAAGATAAACAGGCAACACCATAAGGAAAATTAAATAAAACGAAACCTCATTCACTAGCCCTATCAAATTAATCGTGCGAAATACACACAAACGTTTGCAATCCAGGACAGTAATGACTAGACGTGTTGGATTTTCTCCCGGCTTCCAGTACTATATCCCTATTCCCTTGATATAATTTATAATCACGCATTTGCTTCCCACAGTGTCGCGTTGGGCAAGGTGACGTGATCGCAAGCATCATGATACAACTCCGACAATTCAATCGAAGTCTCCAATGGAAATAACTATTTTATTCACACACAAATTAAAATAAGGATTATACAGCGGGTGGTAGCTAACATGAACTGGACTTCAGACAGTGTTCAACAAGAAGCTTCAATATCATATGAAAAAAAGAGACCCCATTCATGCTCTGAAAACAATAGATTTTAGTTTTTTTTAATTTTTAATTTTTAATTTATTCTTTTAATCAAATAACACGGAATGAGTTCATCATGAATGCAGGTGAACGGAGTCGAATAAAACCTTAGGCAAAGAATGCGACGACGCGCCCTGCAATGTGGGCCAAAGGTCCTGCAGATTGTCATGGAATAATGCCGCCGTCCGTGACCTATCTTTGCAAACTCGGACGAGCTCCTCCAGTAGCTCAATCGGTTTCTTTGACTCGCCTTGATCCATATTGATTGCCACTCCCGCACTCTTTCTAAGCTTACGCCCTCCTCACCCCGTCACTTCGAACTGCACTCTCAACAAAATCCCGCCCTCACACAGCATCGTCTTTCTCCATACCTCCGAAATTCAACCTAACCAAGACAGAGATATGACACAATACTCAAATCTCACTCATTCCACTCCAACAGATTCTTGCCCTCCACTAGTTACTCCACATCACGAATCCTCATAAATAACGATTCTTCTTTCGGCCAAGAATTCAACGTGCTTATCACCATCCAACATCTCCCAACTGGCGAAAACCTTAATGCACCTCAACTTAAGGCTCACAGAAACCCGAAGAATCAACCTCACGATACCCTTCACCGCCAGAAATTTCTTCACAAACACCCTTCACAAACATCCTAATAAGCCACACCAAATTAATCGACGCAGCTAGATTACAGTCGCCGGGGAAACAAATCTTCTCGTGAACTTGGAAACACCACGCCGACTGGGAACACTACTTCCGCAAGCATTGACGGAATTTCCGGATGCAAAATTCAAAAAATAAAGTACGATAAAATAAGAACTAAACTGCAGCCTTCTCCGATGACTTGAACAAACGCTTAAATTGAACAGAAGACTCAGAGATGGTAGTGTGACTCAATTCTTCGCTGCGAGATCTGGCAATCGCTCTGCTACTCACTCCGAGAACTGAAAAAAACAACAAATGTGTCCTCCGTTTGTTTCAACTTGGATGAATCCCCTCCTTCGTTCAACACACTTTTTACGACATTCGTTCAACTCAGTGAAGTCGTATAGAGCGCGGTCGTAGAAGTCGTGGTAATGGAGCCACATAAATGTGGCAGTTACCAGCTCATTAGCCGATCAATTTGATGCTGGTTTGAAGCGTCGTGCAGATTCGGCCGATAGAACAGAAGTTTGGGCGGTGCATGAGATTTTATCGACTTCATAGCCGATTTTGGGTCTGTACCTTGGGAGGTTAATTTTTCGACTTGGTCTCGAAGAAGAAGACAGTCGGAGTTTTGAAAAGTTACAACGAACTTTGCTCGCTTGTCCTGCGAAGTGCATAAGCAGATTACGATCTAAACCTCCACTTGGAAATTTCCTTTTGATTTTAGGACCATGATTAGATCGTCTCGACTCTGTTGTGATCAGAATACTCTTGTATTTCTAGTGTGAAGGCCAGAACACCGTGCGTGAAGTAAATAATTGTCATTTTCATCCAGAGTTCTGTTTTGAGATGGCTCCCTTCTATTAGAACTTAGGTATGTAGGGTTTGTAAATATAACGTAAGCTCTATTCAAGTAAATAAAAAGCATAAATTGTGCATATTAAAAATATGTTTGATACATGAGGTTTTATTGTATGTATTAAAAATGTATTTGATATATGAGGTTTTAAGTCGTCAAGTCGGGTGCACCTAGGGCAGTTGCACCTTTTTAGATGAACATGCCATTTTGTTCTATAAAAACCATCAGTTTAAGTTAACTACTTTTTCTAATATGCCCAATTAAATTGATTGTGGTGCAAGACTAGTTCTTCTCCAAGCATGCCAATCAATGATAATTGAAGGATGAATTTTGGTCTTGTCAACGGCTTTGTAAAAATATCAACCTTATGTCAATAATAGAACAATATTTAAAGGAGATTTTTTGGATTTTAGTAAGTTGTTGAATGTCATAGTAGAATAATATTTGAAGGAATTTTTTTGGCTTTTAGTGAGTTATTGAATGAAATGATAAAAAATAGCAATGTGTTTTGTGTGAGAGAGAAATTTTGTAGTGCTAATGAGAACCAAAGCAAATTGATTATCATAAAGGATTACAGTTGTGGAATTAAGGTGAGTATGTTGCTGAATATTATGAAGCAGGTAGCAAAGCTAGATAGCTTTCAAAGGCAAAAGTGGCCATGGCTATGTATTTTGCCTCTATGTTGGAAAGCACAACCAATCGTTGGTACATTGAGCACTTATTGATTATATCTTTAGAGAACAAGAAAATATAATCCAAAGTAGATTGACATTTATCTACTTTTCTAACCTAATCTGTATCAATATATCCAAAGAGAGGTTTTGGCAAAGCATTAATATAATGATATTTTAGGATATAAGTGAGTGTGCTACAAATTTATTAAAATGAATGCTTGTAGACTTAAATGAGTGGCTCATCTAAGTTGTGCATATACTAAGATAATATGCTAATCACAAAAAATAGATTGAAATGAGTATAAATACTTGCCTAATTAATAGAACTAACAACATTGGCATAAAGAAAAGATAGAAGTTGAGCTATAACAATAGTTTGGAATAGGCAGTCTATTGCATAGAGTTTTATTCTTAGAGCAAGAAAAGTGGATAGTAGCCAAGCATCTATAAAGTCAAACTCAATAAGTATTTAGGTCAAGTACAAACTTTGACAAATGCATAATCAATCTTAAGTGATATTTTGAGTGACTTGTAAGCTTAAAATATGATAAACATTACTTAAATCTAAAAATAAAACTCTAAAATGGAATTGAACTTTGATAAATTTTAGCAATTTAAGATTATTGCTTGCATGCATAGTATTACAAATATAAATATTTATCCTATCACTTACTTATATGATTAAATAAAAGTAAATAAAATTAGATTTATTTCAATATATTTTCTAAAGCAGCTTTCTAAAAGCTTCATAGATGCTGCTTTGACTTTACATGTATTTATAGTTGATTGGTAAGTTAGAAACTTGGTCAATAAGTTAACTATGTATTAGTAGCTTGTGAAATAAGCTAATTATATAGTATATATATATAAAACTTGCTTTGTAAGTGTCAAGGACAAGAACTCGATGAAAGCTAAAGAGTAAGTGAGACTTTTCTCAAAAAGAAATAGGACAAAATAGAAATATGTATATTAAGAAAGAAACTGGAATGGCTATTGCCAAAATACAAGAAAACTAGAGACCCTTGAAACTAGACTAGAAGCAAGAAAGGAGTTGACAAGAGTGAAGAGGGCTTCACTCTTGCCTCTATATATACTATCTAACTAGAAGCCACATGGCGATGTTCTATAAGACCTCCAATATATGTTGACTTTCTAGGCCACATGCCTTTGCTTACAAGGCAAGTTTTCTATGGATGGACCACGTAGTTAGCTTGTTCTTTAAGCTTCCAACATGTGTGGCACATGGCTAACTTGTTGACCAAGTTTCTAGCCTAAAAGTCAACTATAGACTCCTATAAAGTCAAAGCAGCGTCTATGAAGCTTCTAAGAAGCTTCTCTAGAAGATATTACACAATTAACCTACTTTTATCTACTTTTACATACTTTTATCTATTCATATAGGTAATTATATGTATGTTCGTGACATTACCCCCCCTTCTAGGGACGAGTTCCACGAGGAGCGGTGATTATATATTGAGAAAATCTAATATGCGGCGAATTGTATTTGCTACATACTCTGATCTTTGTTCTCTTCGAAGATAGTTGATGGGTCCTCTTAGCCATCGATAGTGTCCCATTCCAGGGCGAGAAGACCACCCTGTTATTTGATCACTGTTGAGGCCTTCATAACTTCCTTCAAATAATATATTTGAAACACCATCAGGAGTCGTTCCTATCTCCAATAATATCACCAAACATCGAGAATCTCTTCTAAGGTCGTGATACCAAATGCGTTGTATCTCACCATCTATTCGAGGAAGAACATGTCGTTCTTGAGGATCTTCATCTCGGTTGCGTCGTCTTGAAGGTTGTGACAATCGCAATGTCTCATCCGGTAAGTCAGCAAACGAAGGTTCTTGAGTTGAATCCGCTGGTTGTTGGCTCTCCATCTAATTAGCGTCACAAATGCAAAGAAGTTACAAACAAGGATAGGAAATTGAATGTTATCTTGCCTCAATCTTGTCTCTTTTATAAGAGAGGTTTTCATCTTGGTTTTGATGGATGTCGTTGATGAAAAACTTTGACTTTAGCTGATGCATTTGCTAGATTCCTGGATGGCTCCCATGTGCGCTCACTAATATCATATCCGCGCCAATGAACAAGATATTCCAGCTTATTTCGGCGCCGCCTTGAGTCTAATATCTCTTCCACCTCAAATTCTTCATTATTATCTACTTCTATAGGAGGCGGTGGCATTTGTCTTCTTCCTTGTATATCCACTGTCTTATATGGTTCAAGAAGAGACACGTGGAATACAGGATGGATCTTCATTGACTCCGGTAGATGTAACCGATATGCAATTGGGTTGATCTGTTCAGAAACAGAAAAAGGGCCAAGCCTACGATAGTCCAATTTGTCACAAGGTCGAGTGGTCTTGATATTGCGACGAAGTAGCCATACCTTATCACCCACGTTGAGTTGTGGTTGCTCTTTACGATATACATCTGCATTTATCTTTTGTCGTTCTTGAGCTTTCTTCAACTGCGCCTTCATTATTGCATGTAACTTTGACAACCGATTTGCCATATCTTCTGCTGCAGGATTATCAACTTTTGAAAAATCAAAAGTATCAAGTCGTGGATGATAGCCATAATTGGCAAAGAAAGGTGTTTGTTGCGTGGAAGAATGTACTGTATTATTATAAGCAAACTCTGCCAATGGCAGAAAGATTGTCCAATCATCTTGTTGGTAGTTGATGGTACACCTTAAATATTGTTCCAAGACTTGGTTTACGCGCTCTGTTTGTCCATCAGTTTGAGGATGGAAAGCTGAAAATAGCTTTATGTCCACTTTTAAAATCTTGAAAAGAGTCCTCCAGAATCTCGACACAAATTGAGTTCCCCTATCCGATATGATATCTTTAGGTAATCCATGATAGCGATAGATATTATCAATGAAAAGCTTAGCTGTTTCTTCACCTGTGATAGATTTTGTACATGGCATAAAATGTGCCATCTTGGTGAAACGATCTACTATTACAAATATAGAATCATAAGATCTTGAGTTTGGAAGATCTGTGATGAAATCCATAGAAACAGAAGACCATGGTTGTTCTGGTATAGGTAATGGCTGAAGAAGTCCGTAAGGTCGATGTCGAGGAATTTTTGATCTTGAACAAATATCACATGATTGTACAAAGTCTTTGACTGACTTCCACATTTGTGGCCACCAAAAATCTCTTGATATGAGTTCCAGAGTCTTATTATATCCAAAGTGACCTGCTGCTGGAAAGTCATGACGTGCTTGAAGAACACACAAACGTGCTTTTCCTTCTGGAACATATAGGCGTCCTTCAAAATATAATAGATTATTCTTGAACTCGAACTTAGAAGAATCATGAGACTTGGAAGAATTATTCTCGATATCATGAACAAGAGGGTCTGAGGACATACTGGACTGGATTTGCTTGAGAAAAGTTGAATCAACAGTCAGTGTTGATTTCACTGCTCGGAGATGAAATTGCTCCGGTTTCAAGAGGACCGTTCTTTGTTGCTCAAAAGCTGCATCTCCTTCTTTTGGTACAAAATAAGAACGTCTAGACAGGGCATCGGACAAACCTTGTTGTTTTCCTGGCCGATAAGTGATAATGAACTCGAATCTTGACAAAGACATACTCCAACGAGCTTGACGACGATTCAACACGCGTGCTGACATGAAATACTCGAGGTTCTTGTGATCTGTATACACAGTGACTGGACTAGAAGCACCTTCTAGATAATGACGCCATTCTTGAAAAGAATCCACGATTGCAAGAAGTTCTTTATCGTGGATCTCATAA